AAAGAATAAGTCATAATAAAGAAACCAGAAGGATCGAGAAATACTCAAAAAATCATGAATGGGCAACACGTCAGGAAATCAGCGAACAGCCAGAGAGGGCGAGGCTAAAGGAAAACTGGCTAGACAAAGCAGAGATCACACAGCCAAATATAAAGTTCAGTAAAAGTGCTTTCACACTTTTTGCCATTTTTTCTCAAACACCAGCAAGTTTTACATATAATCCTATAGGACGCGACTGCAAGTCTAGTCAGGTGGAATGCGGCTGCTTTTAATACGCTCTACACTCTGTGTTTTTCTTTTTTGGGGGGGGGGGGGGGGGGGGGGGGGGGGGGCAGCACAGGAGCATGCTTCCAAGTTGAACAAAGTTCAGAAAAGTAATAGCCAATCAGGACACAAGTTGTGGGGCAAACTGGAAAAACAAGCATGGAGGATGAAGTGCTGATGAAAAATGTGTCGTTAGTGAGGAAATGTGAGGAGATTTATGACATGTGGTTGAATATTTCAATATTTAATTTCGATATTACTCTGTTGCAATGTAACTAAAAATAATACGCTGTGTATTTTTGGGACACGTGTGATGTCCCACTTTAACTCTGGCCAAATACAGTCAAGTCTGGGGTGGCAACTTAGCGATTCTTCTAAATGACAAATCACTAATCACCATTCTTCTCAATGTCAAATCATTAATCACCATTCCTCTAAATGACAAATCACTAATCACCCTTCTTCTCATTGACAAATCATTAATCACCCTTCTTCTCATTGACAAATCACTAATCACCGTTGTTCCCGACAACAAATCACTAATCACCGTTGTTCCCGACAACAAATCACTAATCACCGTTGTTCCCAATGACAAATCAGTAATTTCCCAATAATTGTGAACAGGTGTGCGAATGACGATAAGTAGTTTGCAGGTCTTCTAAGTGCAGTTCTGATGGTTGCTTGTTGTTCTGTGACCTGGCATAACTGAGTGGGTTCCTCTTTAATTTTATTCTTCTCTCTGTTTCATGGCTGCTTGACAGAGCGGCTGTTTCTCACCAGAACGCTGAGACACAGAGACACTGTAATGTGAAAACTTACAGCTGTGTGTGAAACTCAGCTGTAACGCATACAAGCTTACAGCTGTGTGTGTGTGTGTGTGTGTGTGTGTGTGTGTAAGAGTCAGTAGGTAGTTATGCGTTCACTACGCACACACATGCACACACAATTTTTTAAGACAGCTGCTAATTCAGTTGTGCAAATTATTATACACAAGAACAACAACAATATATTATTATTATTATTATTATTATTATTATTATTAAGAATAAGAAGAAAAAGAAGAAGAAGAAGATGATGAATAAGAAGAAGTAATAAAGAATATTGCTCAATAACCAAATAGTGTCTCTTCATCCCGCAGTGTGAGAACTGAAACCTACAACTCACAGACACACCAAAGAAAATAATAATATAGCTCAGATTTCAAGTGTGTGTGTGTGTGTATGAGAGAGAGAGAGAGAGAGCATTTTTTGTGCACTACTTTTCAATAATACACAAAAAGGTTCACTAATAAACTCTTATCCAGCAGTGATGTACATTTTGATGCATATGTTTCTTCTACACTTACTCAGGATGCAGTGACAAATGGAAGTTCCTGGCTTATACACAGGTTGTCGGTATCAGGTGATGAATCTCAAAGTGAATTCGTTCCAGTGGGTAACTCAGAATTGATGAAAATAAGATTTGTTTCCAGTCCAGTTCCAAAGATTATGGGAAGATGATCTGGTTCAGTCACCCAAACAACTGAGTGTGTGTAATCCACCAGGACTGAACACGCTTATAGTATTTAGGCGGAGTTTGAAATGCTGTGCCTTTTTATTGAAGGTTTTTAATTTGTACATTCCTCTTATTTGTCAGGCTTTGCACCTAAAGACACTGGACCTTGATAATATATGTGCTTTTTTCTTTCTTTCTTTCTTTTATCTTTTTTATTAATTTATTTATTTATTTATTTTTACAGTTCCAGCTTTTTTTTTTTTTGACTACAACACTACAGATACCATTGTTCTGGTCTTCATCAGCATAATCTCTTGTTGTGCTTGTTCTGCTACTATACATACATACATACATACACACGTCAATTTCTCAGTTGCTGTGAAAAAACGATCCTATTTTTTTAACTGATCCTTTGCTGTGCTTTGCAGAACTCAAGAAGTAAGTTTAGGATCTTTCGAGTATAATAAACAGGGGAAGGTAAGAATACCTACAATGGCCACAGTGTGTTCAGGAATGAGAAATTAGTGGGAGTTTTCAACGGATTTAAAAGCTGGTAACTACATTGAACCTCTGATATCAGTGCCAGTGCTGAGATGTTACTCAAACATTTATCACTCACACTCATACCCATGTTCTTGCCATTTACAAAATCTTGCTTAAGATTTGGTAAGCAAAATGTAGAAGTACACTGTGTGCTGTTTCCTTCCGCGTTTTGCAGTTTTTGATAAAAACTGTTCTTGTGTTCCAAAGAACATGTGTATGTACATTACTTATACTAAACGCCACCCAGATGATATATATATGATACACATATACAAATCCTACATACATACTTCTATGATGAATAGTAGTAGTACACTGTACCTACTACTTCAGTATAAAGTATTAAACATAATAGAATTGATCGTCAACTTCAGGAGGTCTGGAGTGATGAGAGAGATCTTTGAGCTGAGCTGGGTGTCCAGGTCTCAGAGGACCTCACATGGACTCTTAATAATGCGTCCCTGGTGAAGACATCACAGCAGCTGCTGGACTTTCTAAGGAGATTCGTGTGGTCCAGCAGCTGCACACCAGCACCCAGAAAACGCTCTGGAACCCGACTAGTAGCCCTGAAGAACATCTTTAATTCACATCTACAGGATCCTTGTTTGGATCCTGAACTTGGGATAATATCGGTGTAGAGTTTATTATGTTCTTCTCATGTCCATATGGGTTTCCTCCAGGTTCTCTGGTTTGCTCCCAACGCTCAACAACATGCTAGTAGGTGGATTGGTGACTTTAAATTTCCCCTAGGTGTGAATGAATGAGTGAATGGGTGTCCCATTCAGTGTGAATTTGCTCTGAGTGTTCACAGGATAGGCTCCGAATGAATGAATGAATGAATGAATGAATGGTGGTGTGTATGGTGGTTACTACTGGGAAGTCATGAGTTCAGGGTTAACAGGACATTTGGTTAAGACTAGAGGTGTGCATCGGGACTGGAATCCCACAGGACACAACAAAAAAGTTACGTGAGTGGAAGATTTTGCCTTCTATACTTTCATACTTTATACATGCTAAGGGCAGAAGAATGAAGCTCACAAGACAAAGACAATATTCATTTTACTAATAGGAGGTACATTCTAAGAGGACGTGCGATAAATTTTTTTTTTTCTGTCTATCATCAGTGATTTGCTCCAGTAGCCCGCCCTAAACCATATTAACCTCAGTCATTGTTAATTGCACATGCTTTTCATTGTTTTTGAAAAACAAATTTCTCCATTGTTATTAAAAGAAAATCCTCCTGGAAAATCATACGGGTATTATAATGCTTAAAGGATCCCAGTTTGACTCGTTGCAACACTGCGTCCCAACTTGCCCCATGGACGATACTTGTAACATGTTCAGCGTACATTTCTGATCTTCCTGGAATGTAACAAACCCAAAAACTAAATATAGACAGATAAATTATTATTAGGTATTACTGTTAGCTATAAACAGCATTTTATAGTTGGTAGCTGCTCGCTTACTCAGTTACATTATATAGAAATCTTGCCAGAAAGTTCCAATTATTAATTCTAGCTGAGGAACTGTAGATGTTCAGGATTTCTTCTGAAAATTGTTATTTGTTGTTATAATTTGTGATTGAAAAAAAAAAGACTTCTTATTCCCAGCAGCCCTGGGTGTTTCATGCATATAATTTTTTTACAATTTTTTAAAATAATTTTTTTATATTTTTATTTAAAAAAATATATATATATTTTCGTATGTTCATACGAATAGACTCAAGGAACTGAAATTCAATTGCTCTGTTCATGTACTTGGCCATGAATCTATTCTATATTTATTTTCATTTGCTGTAATGAGGAACTGCCAGCAGGCGGCGCGCAATACAGCTACAAGACTCATTAATACCACAGACGAAGAAAGAGGACCCGGAAGTGCTAATCAGATGATCGTTGGCCCCGCCCACTGTTTACTGTCAGCGTGTTATGATTGAATCTTTTTTTTTAACAATTAAAAAAATAACATATTTATATTCGTAACAAACGCTTTGGCAGCTTGACGAGCACATTTAACAGTTATTTAATTCGGATTAAATGACGGATTCGGATTAAGCAGTTTAAAGCAGTTTTAATGGCGTCTTCAGCGGTGAGATTTAACACTTAAACTTGCACTTAGACTTTCAGTCTGAGTTTCAGGTTCCAGTGTTTAGACAGACTACATTAACATAGTGAAATGTTAAATACTTCCTTCCACAGTGCTGAATAAGTGTATAAAAGGATATTAGCCAGTAACTTGGTGACTAAATGCTTAACTTTAGTTGTTGTAGAAAACTCGTGTTATTTGTCTGAGTCGTAAACTCAACCGGAAGCTCTGAATAAGTCCTGCACATTAATGCACACTTTCTATACAGTGGTTTAAAACAGTTTCCGGTTCTGTGCTCCAGAGAAAATCCCCTAAATCTCCATGAACGTTACTGTCCGTTACATGTCTATACATGATTTACTTCAAACCAGTATTTTTTTTCTTCAACCTTTAAAAAAATAGGTGTCTGCTATTCTTTACTGATGAAGTGACTGATTTGAATCTGTAAAACATATCTAAAAAAAGAATCCAGGATTTTCACTGCAGTGCACCTCAGTAATAATGGTGGCAATAATATAGTACACAAAGTTACCAGAGAAACAGGATGTTTCAGACAAAGGTCCTTCATCAGATGTGCAACTAGTGGAACTAGTAGATATTGGTGGTGGAAGCATGGTGTTGGTAGCACAGTGGTTAAGACATCGGATTTCTGATCAGAAGGTTATGAGTTCAAGTCCCAGCACCACCAAACTGCCACTGCTGGGCCCCTGAGTAAGGCCCTTGAGCAGGGCCCTTAACCCTCAACTGCTTAGTTGTATAAATGTAAGTCGTTCTGGATAAGGGTGTCTGCCAAATGCCATAAATGTACATTCCAAGGCAAAGATGTTCAAAATGGTTGGGGATGTTGTCAAAATATCATTCATTCCATGGGGTTGCAGAATTCAGAGAGTGTATATGATGAGCTCTTTTTCCTTACAATTGCTCACTTCAAGGACTGCGTTCATCTCCTTCAGCCTCAGAAACACTTAGTTTGCACAGCTAATGAAGGACTTTGATCCGAAACATCCTGTTTCTCTGGAAACATTTACACTGTGATTAATTTTTAATACATCCACTAGGGCTGGGTGATGTATGTCATGTAATCGATATTTTGATAAATTGTCTCACAGTATGGTTCTCTGAGATATCATGGATATCGTGATATCTATATTGTGTACTGTTTTTCCTGGGAGTTTTTTTTTTTTTTTTGGAAAAACCTATATTTTGTGATACATATCTTGTAGCATAAAAATGCCATCTAGAATTGTTTGTAAATATGTACATTCATGTCCTTTTTGGGGAAGGTTGGGAAGGTATAATGGCCTGTCTCTCTCGTGTGTGTGTGTGTGCGCATGTGTAGACGCTCGGTGAGTTCATGCGCTGTCTCAGTGAAATGGGTTTCACTGAGCATCAGATTCAGGCTGCAGTTCAGGCTGGCTGTTTCTCTGTACCAGAAGCAGCTGAATGGTAAGACTTCGTAAAAGTCTCTGAATAATACCTCACTCTTTGCTTTATTACTGTTTATACCATAGCAGATAAACAGATTTAAAAACGTTCGAGGGAGATAAGAGGAAATAAAAATAAGTAAAAATTGTTAGTTTTGGAAAATTTCTGTGGTATAAGAGGAATAAAGCATTTTAGGATGACTGTCATAGAAAAATAATCGACTTAGAAAGCTTAGCTTTCTATAGCAGCACGAATCAAAGTGTTTTAATCCTTAATGAATTAACACTTTAAGTTATTATCACAAAATATTCAATCTTTATAGTGTAGTAACATGTTAGTATTGATTTTAAGCATGATTGGCTGTGGTGAGTGGAAATAAATCTGTGTTAATACTATATGTGCAATAACCACAGTCTCAGAGTGACTCAGCTAGGCAGAGAATGTACACTTTTAGAAATCTTGTTGGCTTAATCTTTTTGGTTTCAGTATAAAATTTATGTTCTTACACTATGTGGTCTGGTTGACATAAGTTGTTTACTCACACTGTATTTGAAAGTGATTGTCAACAAACAAATTGGGTTAAAAAAAAAGCTTGAATCATACATTGTATGAAAAATGTATTTATTCATTCATCTTCAGTAAGCGCTTTATCCTAGTCAGTGTCGTGGTGGGTCTGGAGCCTATCCCAGGAACACTGGGTGTGAGACAGGAATACACCCTGGACGAGATGCCAGTCCATTGCAGGGTGCCATGTACACACACATTCACACACACATTCACACACTCATTCACACACTCATTCACACTTAGTGGCAATTTAGCAAAGCAAATCCACCTACCAGCTTTTTTGGGTTGTGAGAAGAAATTGGAGAACCTGGAAGAATATTTGATTTTTAAATCAATTTTTTTTTTAATATTCAGCATAAATCGTTAGAACTCTCTGTTCTTGGTTGTTACGCCAGTTAAGCAGAACTGTTTTATGCGTCAGGAGATAATTCAGAAAAAGATAAAGCACAGGTTTATTTTCATTCCCCCAACTATCCCATTTGCCCATGCATTAAGTCCCTTTTTTATTTTAAAATTTTCTATCAGAACAGTATCTTAAAGGATTGAACATTGTGTTTCTTTCTCCAACGCTGTGTGTGCAGGATTGTGCGGGCTGGCAGTCCGAGACACACACTAATGCCACGTTCCGGACCAGTTACAAGTGCTATTGCTGCATTTAACCCTCCTAAAGATGCTCAAGGAGCTCAGACGGAGGGAAAAGGTACAAACCTCACACTAATAAAGCTTTAGACTTTAAACCTCACAATAACAAACTTCACGCCAAGAAACCTTGCACTCAAAAACCTCAACCTAATGAACCTCAGACTAACCGCCCTCGTGTTAATGAACCTCACAGTAATAAACATCACACTAATAAACCTCAAACTAATAAACCTCACACTAACAACTTCACATTAGTAAACCTCACACTAATAAACCTCACACTAATAAACCTCACACTAACAAACATCAAACTAACAAACCTCACACTAGTAAACCTCACAGTAATAAACCACACTAATAAACCTCAAACTAATAATCCTCACAGTAATAAACCACACTAATAAACCTCAAACTAATAAACCTCACACTAACAACTTCACATTAGTAAACCTCACACTAATAAACCTCACACTAGTAAACCTTTCACTAGTAAACCTCAAACTAATAAACATCACAATAATAAACCTTGCACTAACAAATCTCACACTAAAAAACCTCAGACTAATAAACCTCACACTAACAAACCTCACACTAATAAACTCCACAGTAATAAACCTCACACTAACAAATGTCATACAAAAAAAACCTCAGACTAATAAACCTCACACTAGTAAACCTCACACTAATAAACTCCACAGTAATAAACCTCACACTAACAAATGTCATACAAAAAAAACCTCACGCTAATAAACCTCACACTAACAAACATCAAACTAACAAACCTCACACTAGTAAACCTCACAGTAATAAACCACACTAATAAACCTCAAACTAATAATCCTCACAGTAATAAACCACACTAATAAACCTCAAACTAATAAACCTCACACTAACAACTTCACATTAGTAAACCTCACACTAATAAACCTCTCACTAGTAAACCTTTCACTAGTAAACCTCACATTAATAAACTCCACAGTAATAAACCTCACACTAACAAATGTCATACAAAAAAAACCTCACGCTAATAAACCTCACACTAACAAACATCAAACTAACAAACCTCACACTAATAATCCTCACAGTAATAAACCACACTAATAAACCTCAAACTAATAAACCTCACACTAACAACTTCACATTAGTAAACCTCACACTAATAAACCTCACACTAGTAAACCTTTCACTAGTAAACCTCACATTATTAAACTTCACACTAACAAAACTCACACTAGTAAACCTTTCACTAGTAAACCTCACATTAATAAACTTCACACTAACAAAACTCACACTAGTAAACCTTTCACTAGTAAACCTCACATTAATAAACTTCACACTAACAAAACTCACACTAGTAAACCTCACACTAATAAACTCCATAGTAATAAACCTCACACTAACAAACATCAAACTAACAAACGTCACACCAATAAACCTCACACCAATAAACCTCACAGTAATAAACCTCACACTACCAAACGTCACACTAACAAACCTCACACTAGTAAACCTCAGACTAATAAATCTCCAACTAGTAAACCTCACACTAATAAACCTCACAGTAATAAACCTCACACTAAAAAACTCCATAGTAATAAACTTCACAATAACAAATGTCATACAAACAAACCTCACGCTGACACTAATAATCCTCACAGTAATAAACCACACTAGTAAACCTCACACTAACAAACGTCACACCAGTGAACCTCACACTAAAGAATCTCACACTAATAAACCTCACTCTGTCTGTGTGTGTGTGTTGAAGGTGCTGATTTGGTGCTGCATCGTCCTGCAGCAGAAACTGAACCTGTAAAGTCTCGAATAAAGCAAAACAATGACTTTCTCGCTCAGGAGAGACAGAGAGCAGCAGAACATGCCCGGGCCGAGAGGAGACAAAACACACAGGTACACACACTTTTTTTTATTTAGGCCATTATGGTATATACTACTATTAAGACCATTAGGGGTTTACGAAAGCCTTTCTTCTTCTTTGGTGTGTGTTGACTAAATCAGTTCTGCAGTGGCCACAACAGGAGCAGCAGCTCATTCATCAGGAATGTATCAGGATTGTGACTCAGCAGGACGCAACATAAAAGTTGCGTGAGTGGAAGGTCTTTACTTTCATGCGGGCACGAGCGAGCAGCCATATACGAAGCTTGTGGGGAAAAGGAAAGACCATTAACATGAGCGTGCAGTGCTCAATTTTGTTACACCCTACCAGACATGATTAAAATGATCAGATCAGTATCAAGTTCATCAAAAAAAGAAAACTGGGTGGAAATTTACACCACATGGAGGGAGAGAAACACCCACATTACTCCGCGTATAAAATTAATGCCATCTGAAGAAAGCCATAACAGAGATTACCTGATACCTGACTGGTTATCTTTCTCTGTTTATTCCTCCTGGAGTCCATCTCTCACTATAAGTAACTAGAACATTGTTGTCAGCTGTCTGCCACTTTGTTTTGTTGGTTTGCTGGTTTAGAGACAGTCCCTCCCTCTGGCATGCCTCATGTAAATTGTGTGTGTGTTCTCAGGAGCGAGAGTTAATCTTGAAAAGAATAGCAGAAGATCGCCGTGCTCAGCAGGAGAAACACACCATCACTCCAACTGTCAGTGAACGAGAGAAACCGAGTGAACGAGTGCAGAGCGGCGCGGACAGCAATTGCATTCTAATGGTAAGAATGCAAACACACACACACACACACAGACAGGATTTCATTAAGTGGTAAGATTTTATCACGCTGAATATGGAGCTTATAAATCAAGATGTGTGATTAGAATGAGATATTTAATATTTAAGGAGTAAAAATAAATCTTACCGAGATGTGCAGTTGTAGGAAAATAATCGGCAACAGGGTGGTGTGAAGAAGCTACTGAAACCCAGATCGCATCCAGAAATAGTTTCATTCCTCTCAAACCACAGCAATTTGCCAATGACTACATTTTTATTTAATGTAGATTTCATCTATTTATGGTAACTTTTGTGGAACGTCCATGAAACAAGTTAGTTCCTGTTATCGCTTATGTTATAGCAGCTATCAAAGCT